GGGGGGGGGGGGGGGGGGACCCCTCCCCCACCAATCAGTCAATCAATCAATCAGTCAATCAATCAATCAATCAATCAATCAATCAACAAAACAAATCCCAATTAATCAATCAATCAATCAAGTTATAAAAATTAATAATAATAATAATAATAAAAAATAAAAAATAAAAAATCATTTTTACCCCCAACCCAACCCCTCCCGAAATTCGTTTTTTTTTTTTTTTGAAATTCTGTGAGGGGGTGGGTTGGGGTTGTGCAACCCCAATCAACCTCCAAAACCCCCGCCGCCCCCCCCCACTGGCCGCTACGAGGCCACGGGGTCTCGGCCCCGGCCGGGGCCGGGGCCTTGGCCACGCATGGCCGCCTCCGGGGGGGATTCGTAGCCATAGAGGGAGAGCGGTTCAGTCTTGCCTGACCGTTTTGACTTTCCATAGTGTCCCGGCAGGATCATTGCAGCCGCCTGTAACCCACTGACCTTCTAACGAAGGCCAAGGATTCCTCAGGATGTCCCTCCATTCTTCTGGGACACTGTCAATGATTTGTTTCATCCTTTCTGGCACATATCTGAGGTGCTTCAGTTTAGTATTGAGCTCAGAAGGGGAGTGCCAGTTACCTATGTCAGCGTTCCAGAGGTCCTTCAGATGTGAGACCCCCTTCTGAATCCAGCTAAAACCGAAGGATCCCTGCTCATCCGCTGCAGACCAAGCAGCTCCTTCTGGAGTACATAGCCATCTGTTCTCAAAAGTGTGTTGCTGCAGGACCTCCTCAATCGAGGAAGGTGATCCTTGTTGGCCTGGCATGACTCTGAGCCAGGCGGCCAAGATATCTGACTAGATCTTTGATTTAATCTACTTTTTCACGAATGATCTAGTAAGTAGGGCCACTCCTACATCCTCTGCTCTCAACAAATTCCATTCCTTGGCTAGAATAAGCACAGCCAGGTCCAGCCAGGGGTGGCCAGAGTTGTCCAGGAGTACTTTCACCGGCCATCTGGCCAGCAAAGCAATGATATGCTGTTCCTGGTTGAGATCCCCAACCCGCCGTTGCATTTATCCCAAGAGACTTTTGCAATGTACCCCAGATTATCGTGAACAGCCCCTTTCCACAGGTACCTACGAGCAGCCTTGATGATCCTCATGTACTCTTCCTTCTCTAGCGGCCTCAGCGAGCCCTGAAACCAGTAGTTCGAGAAGACACTCACATTCAGAGTTTCAGTTTACCTAGGACTGGCTTGTGAGTGTTTGGCCTCCTATTTTTTAGGAGAGGCTCAATCTGCTTTTTCCGATGTACGGGTGCTTTAATGATGCAACATAAATTGACTGCACCTTCATTTGAACACACTGGCAGTGTAGACTTCTAGCACAGTCAGTCCAAACCTCACGAAAAAAGGACCGGAGTTTCAGCTCCGGGGCAACCCCCTCTGGAGTTGTAATCGATCTTTTGTGCAGGTGGTGACTCGTGGTTTGAGGCCCTAATCGGAGTTATCATTTTGCCCGTTTCGTCAAGTGTTTTTTTTTGTTTCTTGGTCGAGTCTCATAACGAATGTACCTATGAATTCATGTTTTGTAAGAGACATACCAGTAGGCACCATGTTGTCTAACAGAGGACCAGTATAGGCCCAACTTTGAGTGAGTGTTTGGGCTGCGGCACTCAGGCCAAGGGCCAACCACCCTTTGGTCTTTTTTTTCCCAGTTAATATATTTTCTTTTCTTTTCTTTTCTTTTCTTTTCTTTTCTTTTCTTGTCTTGCTAATTATTGGTAGTCGTTTGTGTTCGTTTGCATTTCCATCATCTTCCAGAATCATTCAAGCAGCAGCAGCAGCAGCAGCCACGACCAATATTACCAATTGCACCAAGTGTTACGACTTTGGAAAGACGCCAGGGGAGCACCAGGAAGATAACTAAACGAACAGAAGATCACATCACATCACATATGCGGAGTCTGCACGAAGGATAGGCAATCTCAGCCAAACACAAAAGCGGACATGGGCCTACCAAAAGCGGAGTATTTAATATTTCTTTAATTTTCTTATAAGTTATATATTTAATCGGTCTGTCTAATCTAATAGCTACTAAGAGCTGAAGCTCACCTCAACTAATTCCTCCTCATGGCGGCGACGTATGCGGTGGCCGGGGTTGTCCTCGGTATTGTGAGCACCTTATTCGAAGAAGGAGGTGTATTGACAGGAAGTGAGTCCAGTGATGTGATTCTTCACATCAGGGTTGGTCCTTCTGGGGGTCGATTCTACGGTGTGTACGAAGCAGAGGGGTGCACGGACAAGGGCTGGGTCGGAAAAGGCACCTTCGATATGTGTTTGGGACCGTACGAATCACTCAAGGAGAAGGAGGGCATCTCCTGCAAAAAATTTCTGCACCGCATCACTCTGACTCCTTACCCGAAACGCAATAAGAGGATTGACATACTCTATTTGGAGATTCACCTTGGCCAAAAGCTTACGGGGGCACGCAAGCTGATCCGCTTCTGGCCAGAGCAGATGTGCAACTACTGCGAGTACTGCAGGGACGTAGGTGGGGGTTTCTTAGAGGCTCCCTTTTATTTTGAGGGCAAGGTGTTCACCACCACAAGCGAGTTCAGGTCAGGAATCTCGAGTATGAATGAAAAAGTGTTCTGCTTGCATGCCGACAGGCACCTTACGTTTCACACAGGGACTTGGAGCAGTGCATCGGCTCTGAATTGGAAGGAACAGGAGAAGTATTGCAACGCCCAAATGAACCTTGCGGAGCTGACCATCAACAAACAACCCAGCAGTTGCAACTTCGGAGCGGCGGCGGCGGCGGCCGCTGATGAGGACAGTGAGGAGTCCAAGAACAAACAAGTCTTCCTGGCCAGCAAGACCCTCTTCTCCAAGAAAAAGACCGTGCCGATCACCTTCCATGAAAGGGATGTGTTCCATGTTGGACTCAACAAAACCGGGGACCTGCACGTGACAGTGGATGTGGCCCCAGAAGAAAGTTGCCGCTTTCTCCTGGGACATCCTGACCATCTCAATGCTGCTGAAGACCCGCAGCTTCTGCGACGTGCATGTCCGACGTGTGTCTCGGTTCTCCGAAGGAACTTCCGAGACATCAAGGGACGTCTGAGCAGGCAAGTCAATTATTGACCAGAGGTCCCCAACGGCACGTGGTAACTCTGTCCATGGACAGCATCGAACAAATCCAAAGTTCCATATGTCGTGGGGGTGACCTGTGGCAGTCACTTCAAATCATATACGGACGAGCAAGGAAGCACAGGAATTGCATGGCAAATTGGCGATCTATGCCAGCTAACGCAAACCATAATGCACGGCCAGGGGGGGAAAGGGCTGGGGGGGGGGAGCGCGGGGAGCGCGGGGAGCGGGAGGGACACCAGTGAAGTTGTATGCAAGCCACATCAAATCAACTGCTTTTATACAAAAAAAAGCACTACTGTAGAAAAAGAATTTCTTGCTGCTTCTTGCCATTGCTTCCAAGCCACATCAAATCAATAATCAATTGCTTTCACATCTTCTTGCATTCAAGTTTTTGCCTGAGCGGAATTTCTTGCTGCTTCTTGCGACTGCCTCCCACGTCCTGTCTCCTTCCATCTTTTCCTTTCTCTCTCTCTCTCTCTCTCTCTCTCTCTCTCTCTCTCTCTCTCTCTCTCTCTCTCTCTCTCTCTCTTATTTGTTCAATGGCTTTGCATGTCGGATTGCAGAGAGTGGCTACGGCCCCCCATGCCACGGTTCGATTATGCAGAACCTATGTATCTTACCCATTCTCCTGACCCCCCCCCCCCACCTTCCATCCCACACCCCTTGCATGCATGCTCCCTTGCTGCACAGAGATAAATCCAGCACGGTCCCCTTGCTCTGTCTGTTTTCTTCCAAGTAGCCAGACGTTGGTGGATCCACTAGACTGGTGGTTATGCGGGGTGACGATGGCCACAGAATTTGGCGGGTGTAGACGACAGACAGAGTGATGGCCCTTGGGGCGGCGAAGGTGTGGTCGGACGACTGGCTTGTGCAGCTATGTGTAGAGAGAGCGGGTTCATATGCATGGAAAGTCAAGCGCTCCAATCCTTGTACCGGGGTCATGGATGTCCCAAAGGACAGGATCCAGTTTTCCTTGTTATCAGTTTTTCGCAAGTTTTCTGATAGAAGAGATAGGGCGATAGGACAGTGAGAATAGGCCGTCAACCCTACTCTGTTCTGCTGTGCTTTCCCTGATTTCCTGTTTTTCATCTATCCACCCACCCCAATCTTACCTCTGCACAGTCAATCCCCTGAGTCTCTCCGTCTCTCAGGGCAATCAATGCTGGCAGAGATCTGTTCTGACAAATGCAATTCCAACCAAGGGACGCTGGACCCGCTTTCCAGCAGGTGAAGCTCCCCACCAATAGATGGGAGCAACCACTGCAGAAAGGGTGCTAGGCAGGGGTGCTCCGACCACCCTCCCTAGCATCTGGCCTGGTCTTTTCCAAACAAACAAAAAAAGGGGTAAGTACGTTCATGTCACCTTTGAGTATAGAATGAGCAAAAAAAACAGGTGTTGGCAAAGAAAACCGCGCCGAGTTTGAAAAGGCAACGGAAGTGTCTGACGGGGTGTCATATTTATGGGAAATTGCGGGGAACTTCAAGGGGTAAGTACATTCATGTCACCTTTGAGTATCGAATGGGCAGAAAAAAACACGCGTCAGCAAAGAAAACCGAGCCAAGTTCAAAAAGGCAGCGGAAGTACCAACGGCCGTGGTGTCAGACCGGGTGTCATATTTACAGGGGTCGGCCATGGTGTCAGAGGGGAAAACCAAAAGAAAAAGAAAATGCCCAACTGAGACTTTTAAACCAAAATTGCTCATTTCGAGTTGGCCCGTGGTTTCTTTGCCGGTGCGAGTTTTTTTTGCATTTAGGATTTCAAAACATGCCGCGTCCGCCGTTATTTCAAAAAAGAAGATGCCCAAAGGCTACTATTGGACCGAAATTGCTGATTGGCCCGTGGTTCCTTTGCCGGCACAAGTCTGTTTTGCCTATAGGGTTTCAAAGCATGCCGCTTCCGCCGTTATTTCAAAAAGAAAAGAAAGATTTACTGGTGTCCATTTCTCTCTCTGTACAGGACAAGATACAGGGACAAGGTCAGGACAGTACCAGTTTTCATTCAAGTAGGTTCTCTTCTTCCATCCTCATCCCGCTTATTCTCTCTTCAAGTTTGATGATTTTTGCCTCCATATCTCACTCTGGGCATATATGTCCCCCAGGAACAGGGGAGGAGTGGGTACTTGGTCTCCGTGCTCCCGCCCCCTCAACACTTGGGGACTGTGAGGTCCCATTATCTATTGTTCCACCATGTTTTTCTTTGTTTCCTTGCCCGTGGAAAGCAACCGAATTTGCGGCCATTACTCTAAGAAGAGAACGGGCTTTGTTGCGGCTCAAGAAAAAAAAGCCCTGAGCTCTACAAGTGTCATCTCTGTGTGCGTGTTTCATTGTTCAAGTTTGTGACCTAATTGCGACGTGATGCATCATGGCTGATGGCGTTGTATCGTTTTCCTTCTTTTGCATGTGTACGATCCTGGAATGCTCTATGAATGCATGCCTAGCAAGGCAATAATTGCCTACTCCAGACAGTTTTCTCTTCCCAGAATCACGGGTTGGGGTTTGGAACCCCGGCAAAACCGCCTTTTATTTAATCCTCCTCTATCCCCACACCCATACAATGCCATTTATAACAAACCCAAAGGGTCATTTTAACCAAACTTGCCACCAATTCATAGAGCGGAGACCATACTAATTCATTGCACAACAAAAACGAAAAATAAAAATAAAAAACCTATAAAACAGCAAGGCAAAAGTGCACTTTCATGCAAATTTCACCAACATTCAATTTCAGAAATCTTGAGAAATGTCAGAAATCTCAGCAGAGGAAATTCCAATGCTCCAAATGAGACCAAATTTGACACACAACAACCTTGAACCAGAAMAAAAACAGGCAAAAAAAAAAAAAAAAAAAAAAAAAAAAAACATAAAACTGGCCCCCAAACCTTAATTTCAGTTTTGGACCTGTGGTCAGGAGCTGAAAGTGGGGGTCCCTGTTAACCACTTGTGCGACCATGGAAGGCAAGTTGTGTGAGTGGGATGTGAGAGAGGGAGTGGCCAGAATCTGCGAGCTGTAAACATTCCTGTGGTTTGGGATATGTCTGATCTAGATTTGTGATTGTGGAAGTGGCTTTGCCATCCTAGTAAGTGTGTTTGCCTTATCATGGTCATGCCATCATCCCATTGCCCATCATAGCACCTTTCAGGCTGCAAACGGACCGAGTGTCTTCCAACTGTAGATGTGAAGATCAGTATCATCAAAAGGGTTTTACTGAAAATTTACTCACGTTGCCCACAGAGAAGAAGAGAAATCAGTTTTATGTTTGTCTGTTTTCCTCTTGTTGTCTGTCTCCCGCCGATTTTTCTTACTTTTGCTTACCCAACTGAGCACCCTTAAGTAGTGCCAAACAGTCGGTGGTTCCGCATTTGGGGTGCCCACTGCACTCTTAGGGGAGCCGCTCGGTTCGGGATGTCTGTGTTGCCTGTGGGTGATAACGGATGCTCGTCGGAATGTCTCCCTGGCTCAGTGGGTAGTGGGAACGAACAGTCTGCGGGGTTCAATCGTGATGTGAGTAGGTCATGTGCCGCTTTGCACCGTGTTGGATGTGTGGACGGCCTCGTCTGCGCTCTGCCGCTGCCCTGCTGCCTGTCCTGCTTGCTTCGCATGTGGTTCTCTGCAGGTTGATGTGTTCGCTGTGGGGTGTGGCCGTGTTGCTGGTGTTGACTTGCGCTTCGCTGCTCTGCTGCCTTGCTGCCCATCCGCTGGTTGTGCCCTCCGTGTTTGCTGCTTGCGGGCCTTGTACGGTGGTTGCCTTGTTGCTGTTGCCTTGCGCTGCGCTGCACGGTTGCCGAGCTGCTGGTCCGCTTGCCGCCGTCCCTTGCAGTGTGGTTGCCTTGCTTGTGTTGCATTGTGCTTTACTGCACGGTTGCTGTGCTGTTCATCCGTCATCCGCTGCTGTGTCGTTCCTTTGCAGTCGTTTTTGGCGTTGTGCAGCCGTGTTGCCTCTACTGCATTGCCTGGTGCTCCACAGGGTTGCTGCCCGCTGCTATGTTCTTATTGGGGACAGTCTGCCTTCAACAAGAGTCGAAAGGCTCATGGCCCAAACCATCAACACGAGGATTCCGCAGATTGTCGAGAGTTCGGTGCAACTCCGATGAAACAAACTTATCATCAGCAGTTTTTATTTTTTTGGTCTTTCCTTTTGGGGGGGACTTGTATTTTTTTTTTGTTCTGCCTGCTTTGTGTGTTTGAGTGACGTCTGCCCTCCCGCCTCGCCCGTGCCCTCCAGCCATTGTCTTTTGTTGCTGCCTGTTGTCTTATGCTTGGGTTATCTTTCTGTACTTGCACTTTTCTTATGTCTTTCTTTGTTCTGTGCGTTTATGTGTGATCTGCCCTCCCACCTCCCCCAAGCCCCCCAGTCCGTGTGCCTTTCTGCAGCATGCTGTCGTTGATTCCTTGCCTTTTGCCTTATTGTGCTTCCTTTCCCCGTCGTGTGGTGTGTGTGTTCCAGTTCGCCCACAAAGTGCAGTGGGAGCATGGATGCTTGTGTAGTCCGGCATAGTCATTCCCCACCTTCCAGTATAGAATCCATCTGCACCACACCTACAAGTTCTTGTTCCTAGTATGCTCGTGTAGTCTGGCATAGTTATTCCCCACCTCTGAGCACCGGATGCCTCTGCACCACGCCTAGTACGAGTTTTCCTTCTTAAACCACAAGTACACGGCCCCAGCCTTGCAGTCCGAAACTTGTCGCCACAAGAAAACGAGGCCGGAACGTCAAACGTTGGGCCCGCCGTTGATAAATTCGATCGGCGGCCCCGTTTCCGTTTCGCACCTCCAGAATTTGAGGTGTCAGACCTGCGGCCCAGGTGCCCATGTACTGGTGCTTCAAGGTGCGCCGATATATTATTTCGGAGCTTGATTATGATGTGGCTCCCGTATCATACCACAAACGTGTCATATTATGCGGGTCACACACTCTCACACACACACACACCAAGGTACAGCTGAAAGGTCAACAAGGAACTACAGATACCGACCCGCAAACCCAGACCCCGACCCAACAGTAGAAAGGTTTGATGCAAAGCAATTGATTGGTGGGAAAATGAGGTAACCATCGATTCA